CCTTTATGTAATGTAGTTTTATGTAGTTAAAGTAGCAGAGAGTTGCAGAAGAGGTGCGACTTTTGTAGTCAAGGCTTTAAAATGGTTAAGAAGAGAAACTGTTTTTAGATGAATCTCCTGAGATAACATTGTTGGAGGGACTTTCATTTTATATGAAAGTGCATGAAGAAGATATTCGTGGGTCGATCTCACCAGAAGAGGACAGATGAATCCAGTTGTACTGCAACCATTTGTCTTTTATACGACGTTCAGGTTGACGCAGTCCACGAGACTTCCTCCCTCGTTTTAGGTAAAAACGGACTGGGCTTTCGTCCATCATATGATAGACATTATCAGAGCTGGGTCTCATTCCTGTAAAAGTCTCACGTTAACACTAGGGCAAGACGACTATCCGGCTCTATCTTATCTCTTATAAATATACTCAATTAAGCCAAAAGAAAATTAAAAACCTATATAGATATAGAGTGGTTTGGATAATTATCTTTTATACTGGTCCCGCTACTTTTGTTCGAGTGTGTGCGTGTTAGTGTCTATCTGCGATATCGGTCTTAAATTAGAATTATCAAAAGGCTAATGTCAGGCTCTTATTATCAAGGCCTAATAACACAAGAGGAAGCCCTGACCGAGACCGCGTAAGTCAGTAAGAAAGTATGGTTAAGATTATGAGATATGAGCTTGTAAGCATGTAAGTCAAGTTATGAAACCACTTGTCCTAACCTCTCAGTCTAGAGTCATTCAGCTCACTTCCATTTCGAGTGAAAGTTTTTGGTGAAACATTACAAGGGTCGATCATACCAAAAGACGACGGTGGGTTCCTCTTGACCAGTTATCCATTGACTTTACTGGAACATTCTTGCTGACGTGGTTTCTGAGACAATATGATTGTTAGGATGCTACTCTGTTCTGATGATGATGGTCAAAAACCAAGGCAGTTCTGCCAAGCCCATTATCGAAAAAAAGCTATTCCATGTCAAAAATCTATGACGTTAGATCTACTAAAACGTCAAAATTGCCAATTTTTACGTCTACTTCGCGGATAAATGGGTCTGATACTTCCCACTGGTAATGCCCACTACGATGCAAGTGGATCAATTGTCTGGTGTTGGAGATTACCATGACTGCTTTGGCGGGTTCCATGACATCTTCTATTTGCCCAGACAAAGGTACGAAAACGAAGTGAAGACAAAAGTAAAAAAATTTACACTTATACCTTGGCAGATAAGTGTAAAATCCGGAGTCCTAACGACTCCTAGAGACGTGAGGTCGTATCCCATCAGTTTGCAATTAAAAATGGTGTATAGAGGCTGTTTGACCTTGTTTTTCCAACTTGGTCATATTGTTAGGAGGAACGCACCTAGTCCGGAGTCCATTGTATGCATGGTTATTTCCAGACTAGGACCGTGTACGTGGTACATTCCCAGACGTTTCGCCGGCATCGTCAGTGAATATCACCATTCTTAGCACCATATAACAACTCGTCAAAGAGATAAGTAAGCCCATCCTTTGACCAAACGTTTGCTAAACAGTTTTGGTATCTCCCCTTCAGCCCTGGACTATTCACATTTCCTATATCCTCCTATCACACCTTCACTGTTACAATTTTTAACAAGCTTATTTCGATGTAGTGTCGTGTGCTCCTTTGGGCGGCATTCATGAAACCCCTTCACACTCCACGCTGCCGTTCTCACCCCTTTCACTATTGTGCTGGGAATGCTGATTAGAGTCTGCCATATTGTTATGCGGTCCTCCTTCCATAGGTATTATCACAATCTCTCTCTTGCCCAGTAAGATCCGTCTTCTCTCTGCCTGTGAAGGGCTTTCATGAATGCCGCTCAAAGGAGCAACCACACTACATCGAAATAAGCTTGTTAAAAATTGTAACAGTGAAGGTGTGATAGGAGGATATAGGAACTGTGAATAGCCCAGTGCAGAAGGGGAGATACCACGATTGTTTAGCACATGTTTGGTCAAAGGATGGGCTTACTTATCTCTTTGACGAGTTGTTATATGGTGCTAAGAATGGTGATATTCATTGACGATGCCGGCGAAACGTCTGGGAATGTACCACGTACACCGTCCTACTCTGGAAATGTTCATGCATACAATGGACTCCGGACTAGGTGTGTTCCTCTAAGTCTTCCTACCAATATGAACAAGTTGCGAAAACAAGGTCAAACAACCTCTATGCAACTAAAGGAGACTGCGACTACACAAAAGGCCACACCTTCTTGTTCTTCATACCTTCAATAAAAACGGTGAGTTTATAAATTTATTCCAAGTACATAAATCCATGTGCACATAATCAGATGAACACAAATCTAAGCTGGTCAGTTTCCTCTCGTGATACTCGTTTTTTGGTGTTAGTCGATTGGGTTTTTAGATTTACCAGACTCTGGTCCTCTGAGCTTGTCTTTAATGCCGCCTAAAAGGGCAGTTTTTGGTAGCACCTCTGGCTGGAAGAGTCCACTATGGAGCACATCCGGCACTTGCTGCCACGACTGTAATCATTCAGTCTCCTCTTCGCACAACGATCTGGCGTAGTGAGCATGTGTGTGTGTGTGTGTGTGTGTGTGTGTGAAATGCGGCCATTTGGAAGCTCAAGACCGCTTTAGATGGCGAGCTGGAGACGGTTTTCAAGGAGGAGGAGCCACTGCTGCCAGGCCGTGATCAACTCGGAGCGGAGGCTCTGCAGACGCTCGGTCCAGTCGATGGGCAGGTTGAGCTCGATGGCGACGGCGTAGAAGACGGCCTTGGCCAGATGGTCAACGGCGCCGAGTCGGCGATCTGCCGACTCGATCTGCTCGGCCAAGTCGTCGGGCTCAAGGCGGCCCAACGGACCTGCGACTGGCTGGCTGCGCAGGTAGTCAGTCACTTGGCCGGCCAGACCAGCCGAGAATCCGCGGAGCTGTGGAGCCTCGACTTGGCGAGTCAGCTCGTCGACGAGGTCGGAGAGGCGCTCGGTGTTCATGTGAAAGATGCGCAGGTGGTTGAGCCAGATGACCTCGTCGAGGTCGACGGGCCGCCCGTCTGACATGACCTCGGACGCCGACTCCGCCACGTCGGCCTGACTGACCGGACTCGTCGGACTGACCGGACTCGTCGGACTGACCGGACTCGTCGGACTGACCGGACTCGT